CCACCCCATTCTTGAGTATTCAGAGAAAAGATCAAGCCCCAGAAATCCATGCTCCCCTTCCTTGAGCCCACTGACTTCCCTTCTGCCCATCTACTAGGGACCAGGGCTGACATCTGCTGCAGGCTCACTCTGTGCCAAGCTCTTGAGTCCCTGTGCCCTCACAAGAGCCCTGGTCAGTGCTTCCCCAGAGGCATGGAGAAGGGCAGAGGAAAGCCTCAACACTTGGACTCCTGGACTACAGTTCCACAGAGAGAAGTTTGGGGAAAGATTCCACTGTACCCACGTTCAGGGTCAAAGGGGCTTTAGCCATTGTCTTCTGGAGCCTGGGATGCCTCTATCTGCCTTCATTCTCTGATTTCTGTCCTGACCTGTTTCTGTCCTTACAAAGTCTGAGAATAGAAGAGGACATGGGGAAGAACAGACCTGTGCCTCCCAGACCAGAACCTGCGGACCAGGGACAGCCCTTTTTCAAGCTCCCAGTAATCCTAGAATCAAAGGGTTCCCTTTGCACCACTGTGCCCAGGCTACAAGGGTCCCCTTCAGTCTATCCTATCCACTCGGCAACAGATTATGGGGACACAGAGAGAGACACAGACAGACAGAAACACAGAGAGACAGAGACAGACAGAGGCAGAAAAGAGACAGAGAAATAGAGATAGAGAGAAGAGAAACTGAGAAAGAGAGCCAGGCAGAAGAAGAGAAGGAAGGTACATCCCAAGGGCTAAATGCCTCCAACTACCCACACCATATCATTGAGCCAAAAAAGGGAAATGAGGTCTGAGGGAGGAAGCCAGATCTCTCTCTCTGCGGCTCTGCCTTGACCCTCTGGCCCTGGTTTCCTTAACTTGGAATCAGTGAACTTGTATGGTAAAAAGCTACATTATGCTCACTAATCTCTAGCTGAAATTTAGCATTTCCTTCAATTATGACAATAGCAACAAATCAGTCATTAGAAATCACACATATTTTCATATCATATTACAGTATTACAGATCTTTTGAAATATTTATGCTCATCACTGCTTCAAAATTATATGAGGTATCAACTTCCCACTAGATCTTATTTAAAGCATTAATAAAGAAGCACATATATTACTATACCACATTAAAATAGTTTTATAACTCTTTTGCAATATAATTGGTTTTCCTTTGTAATCCTATATGTTTTATTTTATGCATTTTAAAACATTATTCTGAGACAGGGTCCATATGCTTTAGCAGGTTGCCAAAGGGGAAGATGGCATAAAAAAGGTTCAGAATTCTCGCATCTAGCCCCTGACCAGCAGACCCCAGCACCCATCCCTGCAAGCTCCCTGTGCCTTGTACTATCTTTTCCTACTCCCCTCTCTTCCTGGGTTAGTCTGAGTCTCCAGGAAGAAGCTAACAAGGCAGGATGAAGCATGCAAGGATTTGATTGGGGAAATGGTTCTGATAGGGGAGGGAGCCTGGGGTTGGGAGAGGTGTGAAGAAGACAGGGAAGGAAAGAAGGGTAAGCGGAAGCATCCTACACCACTATGCAGTCAAAGAAATTTCAGCAAGACCATTGGGAAATTCTTGAACCAAAGTCAGTGTCAGAGGAGTTCCCTATCTCCCAGGAATGGGCCTGCCTTAGGATCTCTGCTAAGTTCTGTCATTGGCTGGGAGCAGCCCAGTGGGAAGCCAGCCTTAGATAAGGAGCTGATGGATTTCAGAGAGAAGCAGCTGGTTAATTTCACTCCTTATCGTTGAAGGTCTATGAGGAGCACTTTCATGGCCACCACAGTTGTCCATCTGGGAATAAAGGACAGAGTACTCCGCCCTGGGCACCTGGAGCAGGGGTCCTGTCTAGAGTTGTAGGTGAGCATGATAGTTAATGATGTAGGCTTGGGGGAGTTGGCCATTTTCTAGCTGCAGGGCCTTGGGCAAGTTATTTAATGCTCCCTGTCTCTTTATCTGTGAAATAGAGGTGACAAAATTCGCTATCATATAGGGGTTCTGTGAGAATTAATTGAGGTTGGCGAAGCAATGTTTGCACAGGGTTGGGACATAGTGAGCTCTCAATAATTGGTAGTCATTATTATGGCCATTTTAATTATTAATTATTATTACCATTCTCTTTCTCAAAGGGAAGGCCCTGGGGAAGTGGAGCTCCTGGAGGCTGAAGATGACAGTCTCTCCCTGAGCTGGGGCAGCTAGGAGAGGTTGGAACCCCTTCCTCACACTCCCCTTGTCTTCCCCTGAGGCAGGGGTCTTCCCCTAGCTACTGACAGTTCCTGTGTCTGCTGACTCACAAGCCAACTTCCTCTCATACAAACAGGAAAGCACAGCCGGCCACCACCACCCCGCCTGCCCCCCTCCACGCACAGTTAAACACTGGCCCCTGCTCTGAGGGGAAGTGCCTCAGTTTCTGGGGGACAGGCTCCAGGGCTGAGGCTTCCCCAGGATGGGGTGAAGGAGAAAGGACCCATTTCTCTTCAGGCCACCCCCTCACCCCCACTGCAATTTTAGGGTGGGAGAGTACAGAAAAGGGGTTTCTTCCAAGAATGAAAAGGCTGCTGCTTGGCCACTGTGCTTGCAGGGCACCAGCCGTATCCCCCCAAAAGACAGCCCCAACCCGTGGTTTGAAAGTAGGAATGCTGCCCTGCTGAACTTCAACCCTGGGAAGAAACCTGGGTTGGGCCCTTGAGGAGGCAGCCTCAGATGGAGACTCCTCTGCTGGATCTCTGGGCCTGTTCGCCCAGGCCAGATCGCTGGGCTCAGAAAGGGGCTCCCCAAGCTGGAAGGCTGTGACTATCCGTGACTTCTGAATGTCCAGCTTCTATCCCCCATTCAAGTGGGTGCCAGAGTCCAGTCACCCTGCTGAGCGTGTGAGAGGTGCTCTGGGGGCGTAAGGCCCGATCCCTTCTCCTCCCTTCTGCAGGACTGGAGGGGATGGGAACAGCGGGGGATGCAGAGTCATCCTCCGCAGCGCTCTCCTTGTCTCTGTTTCTACTTCTGTCCCTATCTCCGTTCTGGTCTGTCTCTTTGTCCCTCTCCCCAAGGCTGTCGAGGCCCCTGGCCGTGTTCCGGTCCCTTTCTCGACCCGTGAGAGGGCAGAGCGGGGTAGAACCAGAGATAAGCGCTGCGGTTGGGTGAGCAACCCGAAACCTCTGAAGGGCAGCACTTGCACAAGGAGTGGCCGGGCCCCGCCGAGGGAATCGGCCGGGCGGGGCGGGGCTGGGCCCCGTCGG